TTTTTTTAAAGAATTGCCTTCTTACTAAATAGTTTTTAAATTACAACAAAAGATTGTGACAACTTATGCAACTTCTCCAATGTCTGTTTTATATATTGCAGCATGGTGCTGTCCATCAATTTTTAATGACCTGAAAAAGTTGAGTTGTAATGCAAAAATACAACTTGATCCTGTTACAAATAAAATCTTATTTCTCAGTTTCCTGGTGTTCATTTTTATGGATAGATAGTTCACTGGGACATAATTGGAACATGACGTAGTCAAGTCATTGGTCTGTCACAGCTGCTATTCTGTTTGGAATAGCGATCACTACTTGACACTGCAGAGATAAATAGAAAAGGTGAAAATGCCATTTTATGACATGTAAGTGCAATAAACCTCATTCTGACTTCTCTTCAGCCATTTGACTCTGCAGAACTGCATTGTTGAGGTGTATTATTATATCAAGTGCTGTGGCAGTGACTGGAGACCAAGTGAGAACAGGACCTTATTATATAGGCATCATAAACATATAAAGTGAACAGTCTCTTCCTTGAAGAGTGTACAATCCAATTTCTAACTAGGGGAGAACATCTCAGAAGGTGCTGAATCCCTCACTAAAACTGCTGAGAGTCAATGGTGCTCAGTGCCAAATGGGGCTAAAATGTTTTTATAACTGAACATGTCAGTTTGTTAAAACTGAAAGCATTGCAATGGATTCCCTGAATAGGAAAAAAAAAAAAATTTGAAAGAAAGGTCTGAAAACATCCAGTGTTGACATTTTCAAGACATCAAACTCCAATTTGCAGGTCAATGTGATATTTAATTTAAATTAATTTGCAATAAAAAAAGTGTCAGAAGTCTTTGTTGAAGTGAGATGTTTCAAAATGATTGATACGGAACATTTTGACCTGATTTTTTTGTTAGTTTGTTTTTCATTTTGGTTCAAGAAAAGTTTCAAACTTTCAGACCCAATTTGGGACAGGTCAAATTTTTGATTGGTCAAAAACTCTTGTGGAACAGTAACTGTTTTCTACGTAGCTCTACTGAGAATCTCTCATTGTTGGACCCAGAATAAGGAAATGAATATTAGTAACAGATTTGAGTCTCTCTCTTCCCTCCCTCCCTCCC